TTGGAAGTACTGAGGAAGAAATGCTTGTCCAACCGCCTCTATCATTTCCACAGATATAATTTTGTCATATTGGCCGGTTGTTAACCTGAAAGGGAAAATATCTGTTACAAAGCTGCTCTGTGATTAGAAGAGGGCTCCCAGAGCAGGTGAGGGTTGTTACCTATAATCCTGGTATTTGAAGCAAATATTGTTTTCTAAATTTGCCTCAGCTGCAAGTCGTTTGGCCCATTCGAGTTGTTCATGTGAAATCGTGATTCCAGTCCAATTACAGGGCGTTTTCTGGAATTCCACAGCTTTAGATGATCTCTAAATAGGGTGGATGCCCTTCACAGCTCACCTTTACCGCCCGAATTGCACATGAACCCCAACCGCATCCAACTTCCAGTATTCTTTCACTTGTCTTCAAATCAAGTAACCCGATCAATCTATCCATTTTCCGGTTCTGTGCTTCTTCCAAGATTCGGAAATCGACCTCATCGACTGGCTTGATCGGCTCTGGAACGGCTTTGGTCTGAGGATAATCAGATTTGAAAGAGGCTAGATTGTCAAAATAAGCGGAAAAATTAAGGGATGTCAACAAGGAAAAAAACTTCGATAATTGTTTACCTTCAAATAGGGCACAGGAATATGTCATCGAAGGATCGAGAAACATGCGAAACATATCGTTTCCGAGATCGTAATGATCTGAAACTGCTACATGGCATAAAAGAATAAATAAAGTTCTTGGTAGCGATCAATTCAAATTGGAGAAGTGGCAATACATCCGATTTCCATTCAGCATTGTGGGAGTGTTTGAATGGGTATGTGGCCTATACAATGACTAATGGGAACAAGGTGGTGTACTATATAAGTCAGCTTTTCACCTTAAAACTGAAATTGAAGGCTTGGTAGGTCAAGCCAGCAATCGATAGGTTCGGTACCATCTCCGACCTGAAGCTGTGGGATCGTGCCACTTTTTACCGTCCCCCTCGGTGGGAACAAGGCTACCCAGGAAGGAACCGATTAATACCAGGATACTTGGTTCCTTTTTGGGAATACATGAGATTTTAAATCTCATTCGCTTACCTTCAATATTTTTGGCACTCTGTGTGAGAGTGTTGTCTCGAATTCGGTGCTGAATATATCGATACGTGGTTACCGTACGTCGGATCAGCGTCAGGATCCCATCGCTTACGAATTTGGAGAGTTTCGCTAATAATGATGGCGTTCTCCGTGGCTTTGTTCTGCTTTGCTCTGAAGTCAGCTTTAGCTTCGAAATAATTTCGTTTCGTCGATTATGCCATTCATGAAAAACCTATAGAAATGTAGTGCTTACGCATAAGGGTGTGGTATTACAGAAGGGGCGTGGTTTGACTCTGTTTTGGACACGCTCGCCACGGAAGTAGATAGAAATCACTTTTGCTAGCTGCATCGCAGATCAAAGCAGCTCCGCATTTTAACTGATACTTATTGAGGATCTTATACTCTCCTTGACCGTTAGGTGTCATTCTAAGCTTAGGACCCTTCTGAACGATTTTTCGGACAAACTGAAATTGTATGAAGACAAACTGAAGAATTTTTGAAAGAGTATATTAAATAACAGGCACTATTTACCTTTCACCGCCCCACTCTGTCGAGAAAGGGCTGGATTTCTATCGAATTTTTTCAAAGACGATGAAACCGGCTAG